TAACTTTTGTTTGAAAAACTTTTTCATACGATTTCTAATTTTTAAGATATTTACAGAAATATCTACAAAATTATTGGTTTCAATAATTTTTTACTCGAATTCTACCAACTTTATCGAAAAATAATAAGAGATAAAAATTACCTATTTTCTTCTTATAGAGCTCTGAGAATTTTTTCAGAATTTTCTAATTAATTTTTTAGTAATACATTTTTGCATTTTCTTGAAGTACTAAAAAGTTTATATAAAATTTTGAAAAAATTCTCAGAGCTCTATGAGAAAATAAACAATTTTTATCTCTTATTTTTCGGTAAAGTTGATAGAATTCGAATAAAAAATTATTGAAACCAATAATTTTGTAGATATTTTAATTTTCGTAAATTTTTGTAAAATAGAAAATAGAGGTGGTATAAACACTTTTTTCAAAAAGAAGTTGTTTGTTTAATCACATAGAATAAAATTCTATAATAAAACATACATGTTTCTTAAAAAAGTTGACTTACAAATAACCTTGATGTTTGGGGTCAAGGTTATATCTAAGGTCACCAGCAGATAATTATTTTAAGCCCGAGCAATTTTTATTCAGATCACTTTTTCCAAAAATCCTGTCTTGAAGATTTATTCGTGTGTATTTACATATGGTCCACCCTGTATATATATTAATTTCACTATAACATAAAATAAATATATATCTGTTCTCTTGAGAATTTACACACAATATCTACATAAATTCCATAAAACGGGTTTCTAATTAAGACCAAGTAAAATAAAATACAAAAACTTGGCGTGTCCGAGTCGTATTAAAACAAGTACATACAGGGTGCAGCGCCAAAATCCGGACAAAATTCAATTTGAAATTCTCGCCGTTCTATACCACTGGTAGATGTCGCAATTAGTGTTCAAATAGCTTGACGCATGTACTAAACCATCATAACCTCGCAATGTTGAAACCAAGTGCGGAGTATAACCGAAGAGCCGCGATTATCGAAAGTGTTCGCGCTGGGCGCTCGGCGACAGAAATCATTCGGTTCTTCGGGTACCCGAGATCGATTGTGTATGATGTCATCGCAAAGTACAACAATCCTGAGGATGTCCCCATTGTTGCTAGAACAAAATTTCTGGCGAATGTTCACATGCTAGGTGTTGTATCCAATGAGGGTAATGTCATGCTACCGCATTTCTTTAACAAAGGGGAAAATGTCACAAAAGAAGTTTATTTGCGTGTTTTGACAAATGTAGTGAAGCCGTGGATGGAAACTGTGTCGTCTGGAAAGCCGTATGTTTTCCAGCAGGACGGTGCGCCCGCTCACACAAGTCATTTGCAAAATTAGTTGTCGGACAACGTCGACATGTTTTGGTCAAAAG